AACAATTGCTCATAGGTAGCCATCTTCTGGCTCAGGTGCCCTTCATTTTCAGCATTTCCTATGTTTACTGAAGGAATCGTCTTGAGTAATAAAGCCCTGCTGCTTTTGCTGTCTCCTTTTTTTGTGTGAGGTTTATCTTTTGGGGGATAGGACTGATTATTGCCTCTGATATCATTCCCCAGTATTTGATATCGTGTGTGGGGTTACACCTTGCATCATATAAAAGTCTGATTGCAGAGTTCAATTAAGCTCGATCTATTGAGCTGTTCTTCTAGTTGAGTTGTTTTGTTAATTTCATGATACTCCAGACAAGACAGAGGTCAGACTCATCTGAGGGGATAGAGACGTTTTAGAATATTAAGATTTCCAAACTACTGAGGTTTGATGTCTGTTCTATGGTTGTAGTCCTTACATGAAACAATAAGATCAACTGCAAACTGTCAATCAGATGGCTGCAATAATGCCTCAGTGTTGCATAACTGGTCATTTTTCTTCACAAAACCTCAGAACCATGATCATATTTTAATTTATTTACTGTAACTTTCTTCAGTTTGAATCCTAACTCTTAATCAAAGTCAAAAAACAAAGCATTGGACTCTGTTTCCAAGTTTGAAGACGTTTCGCTTCCCATCCAGGAAGCTTTTTCAGTCAAACTATCTTTATAGAGTGGATTAAAAAACAAGCTTTGTTTTGGCTTAGACACATGAAAATTGAACCGGACAAACGACTCCACCCCTTAGGAAAGGGCAGTTCTCCTAGTCCTTGCACAGGTTCTCTCTGGGTACTCTTGTTTAATCCAACAGCCCAGAAAGATAAAAAAAATATGTTAACAGAATCTTTGGCATTAGCAGTATAACTCTTTTTTGTCTTTTAATGGAAAGGCAACATGTCCAAGTGATAGTTTACCTCTCTCCTAATGACCTCTTGAAATAATATTCAGACAATATAACAGGGTTCCCTTGGATCCTTAAAAAGTCTTTTAAGGCAATGAATTCTTCAATATAAAATTAAGACGTTGATTGGTGTTGAAATGTCTCAAATCAGTCTTTTCAAAGCTTTAAAATCAACTTACTGAGAAGCAGCAGGTATGTGTCCATTCTGTTCCATCCCTGTCTCTGCAATGCCACCACAGCATCTCCTACATCAACAGCAGTGCCAGTAGCACCACATCTCTGAATGTTTGGCGGTACGCCTAAAATGAAAGCAGAAGTATGGTGGACTTTCAGTAGGGAACAAAACAAAGTTAGTGAATTCAGTTTAGTAGTTGTTAAAAATATATCTATCATGTGTTTTTAGCTTTCTTCCTATATGGAAAGTTTTTCAAAATTCAGCTGGAACCCGAAAGCAATGGTTTATGTTAAAATAAACATTTGGGTAAAGTTGTTTCTACCCATTTTTGCTTATGTTTATTGTGAAGTTGGTCTTAACTTTCTATTTCAAGTCACACTAAAAAGTCTTGAAAACCCTGTGTAATGCGAAAGAAACTACAATGATTTAATCGAGTTCACAAAGCTCTTATTAGCCTGGTCAAGACCTTTTCTATATGCTTCTTCAGAGACCTAGTAACTATTACACCTTACACTCTAGAGGTGTTTCCCTTTCCCATGCTCAAACTTAATTTGAAAGGAAAGCTTTCAGTTTCTCTGCCCTCTCTACTTGGATTGCCCTCCAATCTGAACCGAAAGTCTTCTAACTTGTTTCTCCGAAAGCCTTTGGCCTGTCTGAAGAAACCAACAATCGAAATCCTTTGAACAGTGCTTGTGTTTCAATTCCACAATTATTACAGTGCTGCTGCATTTCATGGCCAGGTCATTCCAATAAAAGGGACCTTCAACGTGGTTAAACGAAATAAGAGAACATCCTTAAGGCCCTGGCTAAATGTCCGACTGATATTAAATAGGTAGGAATAAATGTTGGAGAGACCTCATGTCAATGAGGTACAGTGTTATATAGAAAGTAAGATGCTTTGGGAATAGACACAAACTTCTCTAAAAGAGATAGGGGGCGAGGGCGGACTCAGTCAAAGAAACTGGAATAGATGGATTACTGGGAGGCAGTAGAACAGGTGATTTAAAGACGTAAATCAGGACAAAGTTCAGTGTGTTATCCAGAAACAATAACTCCAGAAGGTAAATCGCATTAGCAACCTTAAAACCTCTCTGATAGCGCATTTCAGTTGAGACCCTTAAGTCACAATCTTCTATATCCCCATTGCGCCACTCATGATACGGGTGTTGTCATTGTGTCAAGTTACGGTTTGATTTATCTTCAGCATTTAATACTTTTGGGACACAATAGCATCTAGAACTGCCTGACACACTGAGACACAGGGAGAAAGTAGTTCATCTGCTTTCGAAAACTTTTAGGATCGAGATGTCAATAGACACTGTCAGTCAGATAGTTGACTTTTTCTTGGAAAAAACTCCATAAAAATCTTCATAGCAAGTAAGTTTTCAGTAAACTCATAAAGTACTGCCACAAAGCAAAGGGTGGCACCAACTCATCAAATTTTGAATGTTGGATTGTCGGCCAGTGAGGGAAGCTACTTAATGTGTGATATTGTAGGTGAAATTCTGGTATTTACATTGCCAAATAGAAAATGACAGATGTCTGCCTCACTGAGATCAAAGTCCCTTGTAGGCCAGTCACAAACTTTATCATTTTTTGCCCTTTTCAGGCCAATTCTCCAGTAGTTAGAGAATTTTTTTTTTTGATCGGTGCGACTTTCAGCCTCATTGTACGTCCTGCATCGTGTAATATAGAGGAAGTAATCAGGGGCGATTGGCCTTACAGGGCCATCTCCCAATCAGGTATCGGAAGGTTGGGAGACATCAAACTTGTTTCAGATTAATTTGGCCTTCGTAAGGTTTTCGTGAGCAAATGCTGCCATTGAAGCAGAGTTATGAGTTTCTATGAGCTAATTTACCAGAACGTCACACACTGCACATGTGCAAACAAGTTCTTCTTCCAGATTGATTAGTCAGACCAGCGCCATCTCTCGGTTGTAAGCCAACTTCGCAGTATCTCCCCAAATGGCTGAACTCAGCCATTTACAAACTGTATCCCTTTACTCATTCTCCAATCGCCTTTGAGGGTCCTGACTGCAAAGCAAACACCGCTTTCCTTTGTCATATAAAGGGGTCTGTTGCCAGGACTCCACCCAATGGGTGTATAGTGCTAATTCAGAGGTTACCTGGTGTGCTCCTTTATCTAAATTCTCACATTGGATATTAAAGTCAACACCAAGGGAAATCCAGGTCATTGTTAAATAGAAATGAAGACAACATCAGGAAACGACATCTCAAAGACCAATTTCTTATCCGTCCCAATTTCTTATCCGTCAACAAGGATATTGCTTATAGCACTGTTCTATATCAGAAGGGCTTCCAGTGTATGAACAACGGTCTTCATTCTTCCTCTAAATTCTCTTTCTCTCCAACCTCTGCATCTACATTGTGTTTCAGCTCCTGTAGGGTAGCTAGCACATATCCTGAATGCAGACCATGCATGTGGTGTGAAACTGAGGTAATTTCACCCTCCTTATGGGCCTTTCAGACTGAACGGAGTTGCGCTACACTTGCTGTAGGGCTGGCTGGGTTGACAGGCTAGGCAGTCACTTGTGTTGTTGGGAGCTCCAAAACCCCATCTGTTCCATGATAAATAGCAAGTGCTGCTAGTTAGGAAGGAAGACGAGGCTGTGTGCAAGGCTAAAACAAACCGGATTGATCTTGATTGATCAGCTATTGAAATCATCATCAACTAATCAATTAAGTAACTGATTAATCATTAACTGTATTATAGAGACTCTAAAACATACCTTTACCTGACACTGTTAGCCAAAGCAAGCAGTAATTATACCGAAATTGGCAGATTGATTGATTAGCAAAATAATTGTTAGTTGCAGCTCCTGCTTTTGAAAGAGATCAGTTTTTAACAGCAACCTTCCCAAGTTTATCAAATGATTTTATGCAATTTGCTCTTTTTTGGGGGGGGTTATTGCTGCAAGGTGCAGTAGTAGCCATTCAAAATTTACCAACTTTCTTTGATGGGTCCTTGGCTTTTCCTTGGCTGGTCTCCTACGGTTCCTTTTAAAACATCTGTCTTTGTACTAAAATATTCTTTCCGTGATCATTTGTGGACATTACGATCTAAAGAGAAGCATCATCTCCTAGTCAGACCCTGTAATTCCGTGAAAGGGTGGATTCAGAGTAAAAAAATATGCAAAGGGGGTCACTCCAGTGGTTGGAAGTTAGAGGGGATTTTGCTGGGAGTTGCGGGGAAGTGGGCTGCCATTGTGAATGACTACTACTGTAAACCAGATGAGAGTGACTGTCACTACAAGCTCACCTCCTTAGATTCCTTTTTTTCTGTATGACCTGATCAATCCAAGCCTGTAAAGTGCCTTGAGATGATGTGTATTCTTGAGCTGCACTATATAGACAACAGAGCTGAAACTGAATATTGTTAAACCATAGCATTTTACCCAAGTTGATCATAGCAGGAAAACCTCCTCAGCATGATTATTTCAGACACTGTGACATTTTGTCTTCTGCTTCCTTGGGCGATGTCACTCCTACAGAAGACACTGCCAGGAGCATAAACATATTTTTCTTCTTCCCTTGAAACCGTCTGTTTTAGCACTTTATCCCGGTTGAAACCATTTTTCTTTCATTTTGCAGAAACATTTGGGATCTGGCTTTTAATTTCCCCACAGAAGCACTCAAAAGACTAAAAGTAAACTGGTAACAGTAGGAAGAGTGGCATTTACTTTTAAAAAGGCAGGGCACCGGCGACGAAGTCACTCCGTGCGCAAACCATGTGCTGATGTTTGTCTGCAACATTTATAAGCCTCAGTAGATAGACGATGCCTTCTTTAAAATGTTGTTTTGGTTAGCCCTTTAGTGGTTTTAGGCATGCATAAAGTACATCAAGGCCCGTCCTCAGAGCCCGTCCGCCTGCTGTCACTTTGCTAATGCTCTCTGTCTCCATGTGTTTCACAGATGGAGATGATACCAGAGCCTGATCCTTATGATGAGGGGACAAAAATAAGTGTAAGTTGAAGAACACCTCATGCATGCCACACTGTGATTCCTCCTAACACGCTCTATTGTAAACCAGAGTTGGCTGAGACTCACTCTGAGCCAGCACAACAGCAGCTGATTTCCTTGAATAATACACCTTCCATCAGAGAATGGAGCTAATCAGCGAAATCAGTGGCAGCGTGTTATTACTGTCAGAGTGGTTCCCTTCCTGCACACACACACACTCACACATTCACACCAGCAACAGTTCCGCCTCCTTTTCCCCCGCGCTGCATGAGCAGCACACAGTCAACCAATACGTGATCACACTGGAGTTCTCACGTCGTCACACATGTGTGTTAAGGCATCACAGATTAGCAATGCTGCTATTAGGGAAATGTCCTCATTTCTTTGTGTTCAGGGCATATTTTTCAATCAGCTATTACTATTTTAATGTCTTTCCTTAGTTTGGGTAATTTAGCAACTGATGAAATATGAAATACTGTTGAAGGGCATGGAAATAAAAAAAAACAAAACAAAAATGAAAGCATATAGCTGTAAATTTAGCTCCTCCCAATCAGTAAGTGTTGCAGTGGTGCTGACCTAGGCCTTCTCTCAATTCACAAGAACACAAGTATGGAGTTGTGTTCTTGTGACATTCTTACACATTCTTGACAAAAACTCAGGAAAGTATGGACTCTGGGAGAATACGCAGAATAAAGATGATTTTTAATTTGAACAGAAGTGTAACTGTAAAGCTAAAGTCCTCACTGCAAAAATGATCTAGAAATTAGGAAAAATGTCTTAAATTAAGCTAATTTACCCCTGATTTGAGTAGGAAAATAAGATGATTTGCCAATGGAATTAGTGTTTATACTTCTACTTATAAAATAAGGTAATTATACAATATGCACTTGAAATAAGACAATGCAATGATTTTTTTTAATCAAATTTTAAATGTAAGTTGTCTTGTTCTATTGGCAAAGTGTCTCACTTACCTCTTCAATTCAAGAAAAGGCATTTATTGTAAGAAAAAATGACTTACTTAGAGCTTGGAGCTGCATTTCACCTCCTGTTATTAATAGTCTTTTGATAAAAAATAAATTATAACTTTTTTAATTTGGTGGGGGAATAATGATTAACACATTAAGATAAACACAAATCAAATTAAAGTTTTGACAAATACAAAAAAAGAAACAAAAAAATCTCCATCAGAGTCCCGGCTGCAGAAGACAGGCTAATGTTAGATTCAAAAAAATTTTTTAACTTTGCCCTAAGTCAATAGCTGGGTCATATAATGACGCTTAAATGTATAAAGTTTTTGCCTCAAATAATCTTAAAACATACTCAGAGCAAAGGCAACAGTACAGTGAACTTTTAACTTATTCTCAGTACATTAGAACGCACAAGTGCACATATTGAGAAATGGCCCTATTTTCTCGTTCTATCCCTCTGTTGGGAGGTTTTCCATCAGTTTCCAGGTCTACCGATGCTAATGCTAACATTTGCTGGGGGGGGTGGGGGGGTGGGCAGCCCTATTCTTTGCTCCTGTTCATGCATATCAATCAAAATTCAGCACTATGTTTCCTGCTGAGGTCTGAGCACCAAAACCAAGTAATAGTATCATTAAATTTCTTCTAATTGTCTTTTCACAGGAAACAAAGGAGCTGACTAAAGTTCAGAAAGTAGAGTTCTGTGTAGAGCAAAAAGCATGTTGAAGTAGTACTACTTTCACTTGATTACCATTTTTCTGGTACTCTACCCAGCTCTGAACATTACTAGCCACAACCAGCAGAAAAATAATACCTTCTCAAGAGGCAGTAGCGAATCACAGGTGCATTCTCCAGTTGGTGAAAGGCTACATGCACCTAAAAAAGCTAGCCAGGAAAGATGAAAATTTGGGGCTTATTGCTGTTAAATCTGCATACATTAAATGTTCAAAATGCGCCTTGAGAGTAGTTTACATAAGTGTGTTTAAATAAAGCTGTCCTTATGAGTATTTATTACACATGGGCCCTTTTGAATTCTGACTTCATACAAAAACGTTAAATAAGGGTCATGCTAATGTGACCTACAACGTTTAAGCACAGAAGCACATTTCCATTCTGTTTCATAATGGACTTCCAATAGAAGTTACATCAATCCAATGGCAAATAAATTGTGAAAATAGAATTACAAAAGTATGAAAAGGCTTTGTATATATGTATATATGTATATATATATATATATATATATATATATATATATATATATATATATATATATATATATATATATATATATATATATATATATATATATATATACAGTGTTGGGTAAGTTACTTTGAAAATGTAATCCGTTACAGTTACAAGTTACCTTGTTTAAAATGTAATTGTAGTGTAACTTTTTCGATTACTTTTAAAAAGTAATGTAACTAATTACTTTTGATTACTTTTTGATTACTTTAAGGTTTTAATGAGTATTGACCCATGTTCAACATTTAATATTTGAGAACTGAATGTGAACCTTAAAAAAGCACTAAGCTGAGAGGGAACTGCTGACAGGCGATCACAGGATGTCCACAAGAAGAGATGCCAGCACCAGGCATGGAAGATTTTCTCAGACTCCTCTCATCAGGCCATTCCTGTTCCTGTTCCTCCCCCAGGCTCTACCATTTACGCAGTTTGCAGACTAACACAAGCAGGTTCAGGTTGATAGCCGGCAAACATTTCTTGCACTGCACGGTTAAATTTGAGCCATTTTCACAGATGTAAATGAAATGCTCCTTAAATTTCCAGTGCTGGAAGGCTGTCATTTTTGATGCGCTGCTTGAGCTGAAATAGAACCGTCCGCTCGCTTGCTGTTCCTCAAGGAGGCTCCACCAGCACAGGATGGATCATCAGAGTGGCAAATATGATAGAGACAAGGAGCCGTAGCGGGAAACGGCGATACAGGGCGCGAAGCAATAAAATATGATTACAGTAAACCCTCGTTTATCGCGGGGGTTACGTTCCTAAAAGAACCCGCGATAGGTGAAATCTGTGAAGTAGAAAACTTTATTTTTTTAAAGTTATTATACAATGAAATACTCCATACAACATTAAAATCAAGGCACAAAAACTTTTTACAGGCCCAAGCATTTGTTTAACAAATAAAAATACGGTATAAACGTTGTTATTGTCTTTTTTTTTTTTTTTTCAAATAACTACTGTAATGTACTGTAAAATAATATAGTTATCAATAAATAAGTAATAATTTTAATCATCAATATGAACTGAAGAGTTAATATTGTGGGGATCAGCACCGCCCCGCCGTGACAGATTGGAAAATGAAAAATTATTATGAAAAAAAATACAAAGTACAGCAGGACAAATAGTGACTGACGTGTACAGTACAGTATTTCACTGCAGAGCCGCTGCATCCTGACTCTGCTCTGTGGCGTTTTTTTCTTCTAAAGCCTGCGGTGCAGGTGTGTTTTTTGGAGAGAAGAACATAGTTATCGGTAGTTGTTGTCGCTCTCTTTTCTTCTGAGCCAAAAGATCCTTATAAACCGACATGCCACCATTAATATGTTTGACAATAAAGTTTAACAATGCATGATGCAAATCCGTGAAGCAGCGAGACCGTGAAAAGTGAACCGCGTTATAGCGAAGGTTCACTGTACATATTTCGCAAAGGTTTTTCTTTATATTTTTTAAAAAATGTAACTATATTTGTAATTCTTAATATGTTCGGAAGTAACTCTAACTGAATTACATATTTTCTCATTGTAACTGTAACAAATTACAGTTACTCTGTTTTTGTAATTAAATTACGTAACGTCGTTACATGTAATCCGTTACTCTCCAACACTGTATATATATATATATATATATATATATATATATATATATATATATATATATATATATATTAATATTATATATATATTAATTATATATATTAATTACAATCCTTTTGCGAAAATGCCATGTTAAGTGTTCTGATTTCTGTTTTTGTTTTGGCCCCCAAATTTCCTAAATCCCCCCCTGTCTGTACTGTGTGTTGATTCAGGCTTTTTTCTGCTTCCACTTTTAACCTTCTGTCCCTTTAAATGACTGTAGAGCCTCTGTCTAAATGAAGGAAAACCAAAATACTAAACTTTGAATTATGCAGTAAATGTCGTTTACATTTCTTGGTTTGAAATGATTAAAATCTGAAAGTTCAACAGCATCATGGTCTTACTGAATGTATTTTAAGAGATTTAATGAGCTGAAATTATGTTTTAATGAGGCAGAAATGTGGACATACTGTAGCGCTGAGTGGTTTTCATTTATGGTGACATGAGCTAAGCAGATCTACAGTACAACAGATCTGCTTGCAGAACCCAAGCTAGGATTTCTGCTCAGTCTGATATTTTCTGTATTCTGGCGAGATAGAATTCAAAAATAGCCCAGGGCTTAGGTGTAAAAAGGCTCGGCTCAAAGTCACTGTGTGCAGCTCGCAGGGCTCCAGCCCTTCTCCTAATGAAGCCTGACAATGCGAAGGTGTTTTTCCACAAAGCCTCTGCAGCTACTAGATTTCAGGTGAATGTGATTCCCCGTCCTTCAGATATCCAACTAAAAATCATCAGACTCCTTAAACCTGCAAGTATCGTTTCTACAATGTGTTTTTGATTTAAAGCACAACTTCACAGTTGTTTGTATTGATGGATGTGAAAACTTTTATGAAATATTTTTATTAGGGATGTGAATGTTTTCCCAACTCCTAATGTTTGCTAGACAGTTGCCAGGTTTACTAATGCTACTACTAATGGGTGGTTTTTGGCAACAGGATGCAAGAGGGGGGTCACTACAGTGGCTGGGAGTTGGAGGGGATTTTGCCGGGAGTTGCAGGGAAGTTGGCTGCCATTCGGCTGGGAAGGGCCATTGTTAATGGCTGCAACTGTATCTGTTTATGTCAACTTATTAGTCAAAACAGTACCAAGATGGACAATTGGTGCACATATCGCCTTATTTTTCATAATCAAGTGGATTCTGATCTTTTTGGTACAGGCATGTACCTATCACCTCCTTTAGACCTGTCACAAATTTACATTAAACTCTTAGTCCAAATTCCGTTAATTCTAATTTATTAATGCTTTACACTTAAAAATATAATTTAATGGAAGGAATGTCTAACCATGTAGAATTATGCTAAGGAATGCCTAATTTCAATAATTTGCACACAAAATATCTAAATGTAAGTACATTTTGCAACATTAGTCACTGTCAAGTTAAATTTATCTAAAAGATTTTTCTGTTCTCCTTGAAGCAAAAGATTATTTATGAGTACCATAATCTGCTCTTGGCAAAAGCACTTGCTTTAAGAATAAATATATATAAGGATTTCAAATAGTCTTACCAAGAGTAAGTCTTCTACTGTACTGGCAGATTATTGGAGTAGAATCCTTTTAAAAGAAGATTGATAATCCAATAGTATCTGTTCTTGCTTAGTATGTCAATCTCAAAATAAGACCAAAAACACTTTTTGGGTAGATATAAGATGGTCAGACTTCATTAGATTGACATTTTTTTGTGTGCAATTTGGTCAAAGAAGATATTGATAGAATATCCCTCTCACTGCTACTAAAACTTGAGACATTTAACTTTTTAGAGAAATAGCATCAGTATATCCGAAAGATAAAAACAGGTATTATTTACCTACATCTGAAGGAACATAAAGCTTCCTACGACCGAGAATCAAAGCACATACATAGAAATTATCCACAACCATTTGAGGAAACAATAAGATCTATCGTTCCACTCCCTGGTTATGACAGTTGTCTCTTTCAATCTCTCTAACAGACAGTGAAGGTCCAAGGCAATGACATCTCCCACAAGCTACAGATCTCCAGAGTCAGCAAGAATGACGAAGGACTCTATGAGTGCCGGGTGACCAGAGCCAACTATGGAGAGATTGTGGAATACAAAGCCCAAGCCTGGCTTAAGGTCAACGCCACAGCCAGGCCTCGACGGCCACTGCCCCCCGCCAAGAAGAGCTCCCCACTGCACCTGAAAGATAATAAGCCAAGAAAGTCCACCTCACCATTGAGCCAAGACAACATGAGTTCAGACCAGAGGGTGGCCTCCACATCCACCTCCCACACATCCTCCAATACAGCTAAACGCATCCCCAGCTCAGGTAGGATCTTGGTCCATTGTGGAACCCAATGCAATCCATACATCAGTGACTTCACATATTGAATGTTCAAGGTGCTGCCATTACTGTATGACTAACTAAGTAAGGCCAGACATTCTCATTATTTCATCTAATAAATAGGTATTGAACATCTATGTCATCCAATCGTTACATTTCCTAAGTAGCTACTTTTTTTCTTGTGGGTATCTTTTTACATTGGTCAGACATAAAGCAACATTATTTTTTCTTTAGTCTTTCACTGAATTTCATCACAAATCCACAAAAATAATTTGTGGTACAGTGGTACAGTTACTGTACAAATTCATGTTGTGCCAATTCACCAGAAGATTATACCTATATTAAATAACTAGAACTGGAAGTTATAGTTAATTAACAGGTAAACAGGCAAACTCAGAGTTTCTGAAGATGCCGGTCAGCATGTAAAGTCAATGATGAATGTCATGATTTGGCGGAATCCTTCATTGACAGAGACAAGCAGTCAAACCAGAGTTTGGAATCTGCCAGTCCAGAGTGATGACCTAAAGATGCTTTGTTAACATTACTAGCCACAACCAGGAAGACAACATGCCAAGGCTCAGAATAGAGGGCCCAGTATTCAGACAAGGAGAAAGTATGATCTCTAAAACATGTTTATTAGATATGACAGATTTGCAAACAACTAGGGCAACTAAGGCAGGAACCTCTCCAGGAAGAAAACACAGGTTAGTGACCACATTAATCTGGCAGAGGAAGATTATCAGTGTGTGAGTCACTAACCGGGTGTTAAAATTCAGTCTGTGCCCAGAGGAATAGGTAGTTTCCAGCCAGTTCGCTGGGACAAGATGCAGCAAACATGGCCCAGAGAGTCCCATCGAAGCCCCGAACACTGAAGAACACGCAGGAGATCCAAGCAGACGAAGAAAAGCCAGGACAATCCAGAGGGCGAAGCCAATGGTGTAGAGTAGAGCCATAGAAATCTGGGACAGAAGACCAAAGATCCGAGGACTTACCGAAGGGAAATCCAGGTCAGTCTCAGGAGGCAGTTCCAGGTTTTGTTAACAAGCAGTTAAGTCCAATGACAGGTCAGGCAAACAGATCAGAAAGGGAACAGTCAGGATCAAAAGTCCCCAGGCAGAACGGATCAGGCATCAGAAACAATAATATCTGCTAGAATACTCTCAGCTGGAAGAAGACAGGTTAAATAGAGACTGGAGCAGGTGAAACAGATGAGCATTAAGGAGAAAACTGGGCGGAGCTAGACAGCTGAATGGAATAGCCAATCTAGTCATCAGCGCCATGCGATAATGATACAATAGTACGGTTTTTAGAGACAGGACTTGCTTAAAAGTAGCCAATCACAGGCAAATTACTTTCTCCAGTTGGTTATTGCCTGACAAGTGACAAAGTGTGACAAAGCTAAGCAGAAACTGATCCACAAGCAAGCCACAAAAAAAAATAATTTAATTTGTGCGATTTTGTATTGAAACTTAATGCATGAAACATCCAAAATGTACGGTGAGAGTAGGTTACCTTGTGTGTTTCAAATAAAACTGCTCGTATGAGTGTTACTGTAGTCACGGTTTTTCATTTTTGGCAGAATTCTGACTTGTCAAAAGTCGCTTTCATTCAGTCCATTTAAAAATAACAGCCAAAAAGAAGTGTTTTTAGAAAGGAGCTCTATGCCATTTAATGAAATAGGCTTGAGGGTTGCTTTACATAACTAACTGATTCATACAAGAACTGTCATGAAAAAACAACAAACTTTTAGCTTTTAGGTTTTTTATATAACAAGAGAAACCATGCTAAAATAAATCTTGGAAAGTTCACTTTGTAGACATTTCTTTATTCTTTTACTTAAAGATCCCAACCCCCTGGGAGGCGGTTGGTCTTTGAAGCTCCACAGCTAAAACACAAATGCTACTGTAAATATGCTGCTGTCAGCATTAGCAAAGCAGTCTATCTGCTTTGATTAGTGTGTCTCTTAGTGTTCAAAGATCTGCTTAACACCCTCATTTTAGTATTAATAGTTTCATTTACATTGCCTCTTTTCTTAGTGGAGTATCCAGCATATGGCAAAACTCACCAAACAGCAGCTTTTCGATGGCTGCACCCAAATATCCTCCCAGTGCCGCAGCTGAAGACCCACAAACTCATAGAGTGGAAATCCATGTTCATTAAGTTTGCCGTTGTTGATCAGTGAAGTATAGATCTGACATCTGTTTTCACCTGACGTTTCCAATATTAAACCTCCTCGACATAATTGTGCTCATTGTGGCTATTCAGAGAAGATGTGCTGCATATTCTCATGGAGACATTCACAGATGCAGCAGTTAGATGAAAGCGGACGATAGAGGAAAGCAACTTCATCTGGAAGCACTTTTGTTTCTGCTGCAGAAAAAAAAAACATATACTCTGAATTCTCGTCTCTCTGACTCCTGAATTTTTTAGATGATGAAAAAAAATATTTGTATCAAAGATAAAATGATAGAAAACAATCTCCAGTAATTCATAGAATTCAATAACATTTTACCTGAACCCAAAACCAACATAACTCAATCTTATGTTGTCACGTTCAACTTAATGACAGTTGGCAGAGTCACACAGTGGATTAGGCTGTGTATGAATTAAAGGAAGACAGATTAGATATTAATGCAACAGTTTCATAGAAAAAAAGGGGTGTTGTAAATATATTTATACCTTGCTTTTTAATTCATTGTGGAAGCCTTGTGTGATGATTCCTAGCTCTAGTGCTGGTCTGATTCATGATAGGACACACCTGTCAGCTCCATCCAGCTCAATCAGCCTCCACCAGCTCTCAGACCAGTCACTTGGGCCAGATTATTAATAGCCATCAGTGAGTTTAATCCAGCCTTCCTGTTACCTGTCCGCCTTCTGGATTCTGAGCGGATTCTGCCTCCTGATTTTCTGAGCCTGCCCGAACCCTATCAGACCTGTCATAGTGTGTTTTTGGATCTCTCACCTGTTCTCTGTGCCCTGACCTTGCTCTTGGATTCTCTTCTGCATTGTCTCTGGATCTGGGATCCCCTGGCTCTGACTCTGGACCAGCTCTCAGATTCCAAACTCTGGTTTGTCTTGCCTGTCTCTGCTCTCCCTTGGACCAATGATTAACTGTCAAAGAAGGATTCCCGCAAATCAGCCTGGATGGATTCTGGAATCCTCTGAGGTTCACCAGTGACGTCATTCACCAACCGGCTTCTTCACAAACTCTCAAAGTTGGTCCTCAAACTCTGAGAAGAAGTTCTGGTTGCCGACTCTGGTGAAACCCTCCAGACCTGCGGCAGTTTCACTTTCTAATAAACTGTTTAAATGTCTCTCATTTTTCTTGTAATTTCTGTAAAGGAAATACAAAGTGAATACACTTTGTATGTGTGGTTCTCAATTTAAATGGGTTTAAATAAACAATATTCACTGTTCTTTCTCTGACTGCCTTTTAGCACTGTTGTGCAGGTTTACCAGATGATTATGAATATATTGAAGAACTAGAAGCTGTAGATTATAGGACATTAAAATTGAGGGTAACATCGGCTGTTTAAAATACAATTGCCTTTACCAATTTAATAAATTAGACTAAGGCTTACAGCAGAGTTATTAATCACCAATAAAATAAATCTGTCTCAGTTCATTCGGATGCTACTGAAAGAAGAGAGAATCCAACCTGAGTGAAAAATCGTTTACTGTGTATAATGAACAGAAAAAACCACAGGTTAAAATACATGACTTTCACTTCACTTTCACTTTCACTTTTATGAAACGAAAACTCAAGAGTTTCCAATCTGTGGCTAGATCAATTCGGAGTTGAGGATTTAATTCTGAGTTTGTTAAAACTGCTTTTTAAAACCAACCTCTGTTTTTTTATTAAGTCTTTTACCTTTTAACATGTGTTTTGGCTGGAAACAGTTGGCCAGATCTGGCAACCCTGGAGGCAGAGATTCATAATTTCCATTCGAAGTTGACAAGAAGTAGTTTATGTAGCAGCTGATCTGCACAGTGACAGCACAGTGGTTCACATAAAAAAAAAAATCATACCAGTAATTCAAATATTTTACCAGTCACTATTTTCATTTAGTGTACCTAATGGTATTCTGTCTGACACTTTCCTTCAGTTAGGCGTATATAGATTACCACTCAGCTGTTTGGGGTAACCTAAACCCGTCGTTGCTTTAAAAAAAATATATATATATATATACATATATATACCGTAAATCCTCTAATATTGGCCTGTATTCCATTAGCAGCCGGGTCTCTAATAATGCTCGGTTTTGCTGTCGGCGGGGGTAAATAATGGCCGGACGCTAATACAGGCCGGGGCTATAATTGGAACCAACGATGTTCCTGTGCAGTCCTCAGCAACCTCTGATAGTAACATGCAAGTACCACAGGGGGGCAGTGTTTGCTGACGAATCCAATCCATGAGCATGGGAATTCCCATCCTTAGCGCAGACAGTGCTGCAGACAGGAGGCCAGATTGTTTGGTTATTATGACCGGCTGTGATGGCAGAACAGTTTCCATTAATTTATTTTAAAACTTTGCTTGGCCAAGAATCCATTCTGTGTCTTCTTTTTTGTATTGCCGTGCAGAAAAATAGCAGCTGCTGGAAGATGTCTGAATAATGTTCTATAAACCGTTATGGTAACTGTACTTTTTCAATAAATTAACCTAGTATTTTATCGGTTCAAAGAGACACAATCTGTTTTTATTCATTCCACTGGTCGTCTGTTTTGATCAAATATAAATAGAGGCCTGCCTCTAATTCTGGCCTCCTTCCAATAATGGCCTGGACCAAGATGCACCTGAGTGAAATACTCATTCATTTTTAAGAAGGAGGTATTCGCTGTTTTACCAACAGGCTGTTTGTTTACACTCCCCCACCAGCTTTCTGTCGCGCTTACTATGTCACAGTCAGTTGCACTCATTGGTCAGAGCGTTGGCCAATAGGCAGAGATATTGTTGGAAAAATAACGGGTTGTTCTCATCAACAATC